CTATGTCGGTTGCTTTATAAGCGGCAGTGATAGGTTTATCACTGTCGCTGATAGCACAACCGGCAGTGATAAATGAACTATCTGTCAATTCGTGACTTCAATCAGCAGTGGTAGTATCATGTTTATTACTGCTAGTTGAAGCCATGAATTGGCACCGCCTGTTTTGCAAAGAAAATCATAACTTTTTCATATGAGAGGTTGGATTAAGATAATTTTTATATCAAAATTATAGAGTTCAAAGAAATCTAAAACTTTGTAGTTGACAATTTTTTAGATTGAGATGGTTTACATGTCCAAATATTGAATATAATTATCGAATCGGATTTGAGATAGTTAACAATGCCGAATAAAGACAAAGTCAACATCAAAGTTGTAGTACTGGACAAGATTTAAACTTTACAATTAACAACTTTTTCATCAAGATCTCTTAGAGTATCAAATATACAATATAAGATTTAAAATTCCGTAGTTAAAAGAATAATGTTAGCTGTATAATCACACGTGTCACGCAGGGTGAACGTTGTGGCCTTAGGTTCAAATTCTAAAAAGCACATATTTATTATTTTTTATCACCTATCACTATAGGATTCTAGAGCTGATAATGATATATATTTAGAAAAGGCAAAACATTTTATAATTTAGTATGGATGGAATATCATTCTAGTAGGTGCTCTATATGTAGGTAAGGTATATAATGCACATAGCCGGTGCTCAACATGTTCTTTTTTAGAATTACAGCGTACAACGCAGACACTCACAACTTAGACACACTCACCCCTATGAACATATATAAAAAAACTACTCCTATGAGGATCTTCGAAGACTGAGTTGGCAAATCCTTAAGATTGACAAAGTCACCACAGACGTCTCGCTGCCGACGAAAACGTCGCATATCACTGAATGCACGACCCTAATAAATCCTAGAATATTCGACGCCCACGAGGAGTCAAACACAGGACCTGAGGTGCTACTGATGCACTCGTAACTACTAGGCTAACATGTATTTCATCAAGACAATAAATATGCACGTATGGTTGATTATAGAGATGCGTATGTGTTGGTGTACGCGAACAGCATGTATCGTACCATTTCATCCTAAAGAAAAGGAAAAAAGGTTAATTAATTCATATGGTGGGTTGATTTTTTTTACTTTTTACCGGTGCAGCCGGTTCACAGTGTACCATTAATTAATCACTTGAACTCTTGAAGGCGGGCTTAATTTTTGAACGTCACTTGATGCCCGTACTACCCAGCTATTGCGACGCGAGCAAGCAATGGGCCATGGCGCCATGCTATACTCCCATCCTATGCATTTTACTCCGGGCAAGGCCGTAATTGCTGCCCAGATTTATTAAGCGATGGCCCATATGTCGCGCGCGATCGGAGGCCGACAAACAGTTGAGCAGATCATGGGCATTGGGCAGGCGATTTCAAGTCCACGTGCAACAACATGGCCCGGATCGGAGAGAGATTCCTTGCATTGCTTGCAAAGGCACTGGATAATCTGTAGTTCTGTACTGTATATATGAATCTGAATATTCATCGGAGATGAAGCACAGAATTAGTCCGTCATTTTACTCATCTTTACTTTTTTTTTGTTTGTGAATGAATCGCCACCTCATTTCTCATAAACTAACTAATAATTATTGCTAGTGCTAGGATGAGAAATGAAGTTATTTTACCAAATTTAAGGAATAGACTTACAGTACACTAACTCATCAATGGAGTGATTCCTCGAACCAAAACACCATATTTATGTATCGTATTTGTAGCCGTATATGAATACTCAAAGATAGATAGGAGTACCTAATATGTGCGTAACTTTGAATCCAAAGAACAACTACGCGTCCTTATTCATATTATCCATACATATATGATTGATTAATTAAGCCACACGCGGGCCTGTATCCGGTCTGTCTATTTCGCGAACGTTCACTGGAATCGAATGAGGCGAACAAATTTCAGACATGCAGTTACTTCATTTTTTGGAAAAATAATTCCACCTCTTTTCATATTTGGTTGGTGTTGCGCGTGCATCTCATTCTGTTTTCGCGTGCTCGGCTGCGTACGTGCGGGATCAGCGAATCAACCGTCTAGCAGCCCAGCAACTTTCTTTTTTTGAAAAAAATATTTCTACAACTTTCCTTTTTTTGAAAAGTTACAAAGTTATATTCGTAACTTTTACGTATAATTTGTGGAACAAACTTCAACGTATAAATTATACATATAACTTATATACGTGACCTCAGCATATACCTTCAATATGACAAAGTTACGCACATAACTTATACATATAACTTACTACGTGACAAAGTTATACGTATAACTTTTATGTATAATATTTTGCAGAACAAACTTATCAACATAATTTCTTAGAAAGCTATAAAAATTATACACAAAACTTTTATGTATAACTTGTCTGTATACTTAGATATATAACTTGATGAATTACTTAGATGTAAAGCTGGACGAATAAGTTATATTCAAGAACTTAGATGTACAAATTAATATCATAACATATTAGTAGAAATATGAAAAACTATGTATGAAAATAACTATATAGCATAACTTATAAGTTATATGAACAAATTTATATGTAGAAGTCAACATTGATAACTTATATTATAATAATAACTTGTTTGTATAACTTAGATATATAACTTGTTGAATGACTTAGACGTAAAATTAGACGTATAAGTTATATATAAGAACTTACATGTATAAATTAATATCATAACATATTAGCAAAAGTACGAAACTAAAAAAGACAACTTAAAAAGACAAAACATGGTGCACTAATTTATATTATTCATCTATAACTTAGTATATGGATACATATATAATCATGTAAAATAGATAGATTAATGTATAAAAAATAAAAAGAGAAAGAAAAAAAAAGAGAAAGATGGACGTACCGTGTAACAGAAAGAGGCAACTAGCACTTGCACATTTCGGTATTGAATGGCTCGGCACCGTGTAACAGAATGAGGCAATGCTCTGTCGGATCGTTTGCTCGATCGGAAATCAGTGAACGACCGTGTGAATGGAATTGGGGCCTGTATCAGGCCTAAGTAAAGGACATTCTGTCACAACTTCCCATTGCCATTCATATCCATACATATATGATTGATTACAAGCCACACACACGGGCATGTATCGGGCCTAAGTAAAGGACATTCTGTCACAACTTCCCATTGCCATGCCTCAATTTATGTGATCTAGTTTTCAAATCCTTTTCATCGAAATTTGCTCCAAGCTACTACTCCCCATAGAGCATCCCCAAGAGATGGTGTAAAATGTGAAGTAAAAAACTCCAGATAGTGAGTCTCCAAATCAAATTAGCTCTCAAAATAATAACATGCTACAGCAGATTCTCTAAAAACAGGCCCTCTATATATTTTTTGAAAGGGGAGCCATGCGATAAACAGGGCGCTCGGGGAAGAGGTAGTCGCGTGGAAGAAAGGAAAATCGCACGGAAGAAAGGAAAAGCAGCACGCGGAGAGGAGTGGGGCACACGTTGAACTCGCTCGAGGCCCGGATGACGAACGTGCGGTGAAGTTGATTAGCATGGGTTGGAAAAAAAAACAGACAAAGAAGCTGTTGAACGAAATTTTGGATCCACAATAAAAAAAAATCTGGCTTCACGAAGGGGTATGCACAAACTCTTGAAGATGCTCTTAGACATTATATAAGAGATTTTTAGTTACCCTAAGTCAAACAACTCAAAATTTGACCAAGTTCATAGAAAAAAAAATTTAGATATCAAATGGAATTCATTAGATATACTATGAAATATTTTTTACATATAATTTATCCGATAAATGTTTTTTTATGAATTTGATCAAACTTGGAATGATTTGACTTGTAGGACAAATAAAAGACCAAGGATATTTCAGAACGAAAGTAGTTAGTACTCAATTTTCGTGCCACGCGGAAGTACGTGAAGACTAGAATTACAAAATGCACGGTAAATAAAATAGGGTTGCGTTTAAACCTAAAACATAAACAAAGACCTTTTGATGGTGTCTCGTGAGTCGTGGCAAATGACACAAAAATTAGGCCTTATCTAGTTCCTCTCCCAAAAGTTTATACCATATTCCATATAATGTTTGGACACATACGTGGAGTATTAAATATAAACTAAAAAATAACTAATTGCATAGATTGCGACTACTTTACGAGACGAATCTTTTAATCCTAATTAGGCCATGATTTGACAACATGGTGCTACAGTAATATATATGCTAATAATAGATTAATTAGGCTTAATAAATTCGTCTCACAGTTTACTAACAGATTCTGTAATTTATTTTTTATTATTATCCAAACACTCTATACAACACCTCATATAACAATCAATATGACACGCCAAAACCTTACACCTGAAACTAAAGAAGGCTGACCGATACGGAGTACTAGGCTGCAGGAAGCCAACGACGGAAAGACTTGGTCTGATTAGCCACCTTGCTGTGGCCATGCGACGCGAGAGGCTCTCAGAATCAAATGCAAAAGGCCTGCTTTGCAGGAGCCCTCCGGCCCGCGGGCCGGCCACCTCGCGATGACGCGATCGCATCTGAATAGTCTAGTGGTGGTAGACAGTAGACTGGTATAGTGGTACGTTTTGTATCAATGCTGCCTGAGAATCGAATATGAAGTTGACGAGCAAACAGTAACCGGATGAACCACCATTGCACCAATGGCAATGGGTGGGTAACCAACCCTTGCAAACCCAACACAGCACACTCACTGCAGGTTCCAACATCCAACCGTGCTACCTACTACACGGAACATTTCGGTTTTCTTTTATGGACCTAAATATATACTACATCAACAATTACCTGATGTTAGCTGTAATCTCAAGTTTCCTTTACAATTGTAGTCTACGTGTATCGTTCGCCTTTCGAGACCTTCACAAGTGACAATGCATACCACGGTTCATTATTCTTTTACATCAAACCCTGGAGTAAACAGGGAATGTGCATAGGGATTTTGGAATCACCTCACCTCCACTCTTTCCTCGGCCTTCCAACTGACCTCTTCGCCTGAACGCGGCCCGTGTCCGATTCCTGACCCGCCGCTGGGTTCCTTTGCTGTGGCGGCCCATTCCATGATCTCACGGTCTTCCCGTTGTTTGAGGGACGAGTTCTTCTGGCAGGTGACCTTGTCTTCGTCGGAATGCTGTTCTGCAAGTTGAATCCCCTGCTGCAGTTTCTGGAGCTCTTTTCTGTCTGCAAGTCCATTGATGAGCTGAAACGGATGGTATTAGATTACTAGCACAAGGTATGTTTTGATCTGAAACATAATTCTTTTAGAACATAGTAACTTCGTCCATAAAAGAAATGTAATTCTCATTTTTCGAGAAGTCAAACCGTGTGAACTTTGACTAAATTTATATAAAAAACTACTAACATTCATGGTACAAAACAAGTATCATTAGATTAGTTATAGAATATATTTTCATAATAAATTTATTTAAAAACATAAATGCTAATAATATTTACTATAAACTTGGTTAAATTTGAGCTAGCTTGACCGGCACGGATCCCATAATTACATTCTTTTGTGGGCGGAGAGAGTAATGTACTTCAGACTTCATCGTTTGCTATTGACTACAGTTCTCTCTTCATTTGGGGGAAAACATGAATGGGATTATTCTTCATAGGCCCATGGCTACTAAAGCAGATAGAATATCATGCATTTCAGAATTTATTAGATACTTACAGAATGTCAAAGAAACTATATCTATATCGAGTAAGAATAATATCGGGTAAAAAGGACACAAAAAATAAGAAAAAAAGACAGACCGAGCCATTTGAAAGTACAAAAAAAGTAATAGAAGATACCTCGGTGCAGCCTCAATGTCACCTTGAAACACAGTTTTGTTTGAGACAGAACCAGAGCCATTGCGCACTGTGAGTGCTGCAGATAACCGAACAATATTAGATGAGACAAAGGTAGGTAGCAGCACCTCGAGGCTCGTCCTCACATAAAAACTCGAGGAATTTTTGTGGTTGGGGTATGGCAACATACTGTCATTCTTTTGCACCAGATGCGTCATGTCAGTCTTAAGAGGGACAGGTTCATCCAAAAGTTCTGCCTTGACACGAGACATCTCCGGCTGATTCTGAAACAAATGATGGTATCATGTTCATCATTCACCATATTTGATCTCAGAAAGAGATGCATAGCAAGTGGTTGTGTTGTGTAGTTCAAGTACCCGACTAGAATATGGATATGACATGCCAGAACCACATTTATCCCAGTCAGCTTGACAAGAGGTTGAAGTGAAGTGTTGAGCAGCAGCAGCTACAGCAGAGGGTTCATCATCGAACACACCCTTTGAAGCCAAGTCAGAAAATGTCAGGTTATTAGTCCCAAGAAGGGGAATATCTTTAAATAGCGTCCTGACATCTTCTGGAAACCCCCTCGGTGCATTAGTAGCATTGGCGGTAGGCTCTTTGGATGAAACTGCAGTAGTCACAAGAAACAGACAAGTCAATTTGAAACTTGTCAAAGAAGAGCATCCCCAATGTCACTTAATTAGCAAATCCTTGAACATTGATACCTCCATGATTCCTAAGAGAATTTGATTTGTTTTGCTTTGGCCTGATTCTTCGAGCATCTTCAAAAATATCCCCTGGGGAATAACTTCTTTTCACAGCCTGCAGTAATGATTATGACATCATGTTTGCATAATTGCAGAGTTGATATAGTAGGAATTAAATCAAAATAATATGAGATTCAGCAGTGTTTCATCTACCTAAAATGTTTAATCCATGACATCAACAAAAAAAAAGTAAACATTTTACTTGAGCTGCCAATTGTAGATCATTAGAAGGTCCTTAGCTTCACGGAACTGTTTGGATAATTCCAGGAACACACGGAAGGAAGTAATCAAACAAGATCCTAAAATCCAGAGGTGTCTAGTCATTGTCTCAATCTAAAATGTTTACTTGGAGAGCCAATTGTCAATTATATGGTTTAGTGAAATACACATTGCACATACTAAAAAATGACTAGAAGGTTCTCAAAATTGCAAAAACTACATCAATTGTCAAATTTATTACACCAAACATGATTATACTAAGAAAGCAACAAACTAGTAATACTACAAAAAAAACAAATACGGCATATTTTGCAACATGCAGCATAAAATTTGTTAGAGAAATACAATGCACTTCTATGTATTGCTAATGGAAACACGTAGTTAATGAAATCCACAGGGTGAATTATTCCTCAAGATAAGAAGACTCACACGCTGAATTCGGTCATGACTATTGGTGCAAGGACCTTCAGCAGCAGCTGAACTTTTCTTCAGCCATTCCTTCTCAACAATGTTGTCAAACACTGGACAATTAGCAGGATTAGAAACTGCAGGGACAGCAGTGTTCGGGCTTGAAGAGTATGCAACAGGATGTTGCTGTGTGTTAGCCTGCCAAGCAAGTGGAAGAATAGCAGCAGGTTCATCGTCTGAGTCCACAACTCGCTCTTGAATTATCTTTATTAATGCATCACACTCCGACCTAGCATTAGAAATATAGTGCAGAAGTCAAACTTTCTAGTCCAGTTTATTTAGCAACTGGCTCTATAAATAACCAGTAGGATAAGTTTCAAATCTTTGTGTCAATTACTTGTGCTTTTATTTCTTAAAGAGATATACTAGGGGATAAGAGTGGGAGAACATTATCAATTTTTTGTGTCACATTCAACATGTTTCTTTAAATGACCACTCCCATGGGCTCATTTTCGGTTAGTACAAGGGAAAGTTTCAGATCTATTGAATTTTGCTGCCGCATACTTGTTGGTTATTCGCTAATGACAGTTATCAAATGCAGACTGTATAGAAACTGAATGTCAGTAATGAAATGCAGACTGTATAGAAACTGACTAGGAAAACTCAATGAAAATGGAACTCAAATGTTTGAGCATACAAATTGCAACATCAAATGAAAAGAAAAGGTTGCATATCATCATAAGATTAAGTGATTAATAAATCAAGGAATTGAGATGTACGAGGCATAATACCGTGAGTAAGTTTCCTGCATAAGCAACTGCTTTACAGCATCCTTTGGATCTATCTCTGAGACAATTGCAAGTGACCCTTCACCAGAATCTTTCAAAACAATCTCCTTGCCACTCTAGAACCACAGGAAATCATTAGGTTGATGATACAGATCTCAAAGTAACCAAATTAATTTCCAATGCTCCAAGAGAAGTACTTGATTTAAATACTAACAGAATGTAATAAATTTTATTTCTTAATAAGTTTGCAGATACAGAGAATGGGCGCACCAAATTTAACAGATGATTCTCAGAAGGAAAACACTTCCCGATACCGTGATCTGTTTTGATAAGAAAAATATAAATCAGGAAACTTATTAAGCCACTGAGAAATCAACTTTTGCAAAGCTCATCAATTATGGAAAACAAACGATCCAGCAACGCGGGCATCTATATGGCCACCTATTGTATAGAGTGATCAAATGGATTTAGGATTACCATCATACCCTTTTTTAAAAAAGTTTTTTTAGATAATGGAAAACAAATAATCCAGCAACACACTTGGAGTTAGTTTTTTTTTTTGGAAATGATGCCCGAGCACCTAAAACATGGTCAACATCATGCAAAGGCCCTCGAGGCCTCGATCATTAGCAAACGCTGCGTACAGAGAACCTAGCAGTCCCCCTGGTTCCATTCGAGAATTAGCATCAGACACATGAGCCATTCGATACCCTCTCTATTTGTAAGTTAAATAGATAATGACAGCAGCCGCGCCATCACCTCCGGCCCTCCGCCAACCCACCCATGATGGATTGATGGCATGCGCGCGTACACAAAATTTGAGAAATATACGATCGCAATGCGGACGCGGGCGCCTCACTGAAAACCGGCAGCACGAAACTACGCGGAGCATTCACGCCGTGCTTGGATTTTTGAAGCGGGGAGACCGAGAGAGAGAGAGAGAGAGAGAGAGAGTACCGGCAGTGGCCTGATCGCGGCGCGGTGGCGATTGCGACGACTCCGGGGAGGAGGACGTGGTGTCGGAGGCGGAGGACTCCGGGTCGAGGACCGCGGCGAGGAGGCGGCCGGCGCCGGAGACGAGGCCGGAGAGCCACCCGCCAGGCGGTGGCCACGGCGAGGGATCGCCCGCGGCGGTGAAGGCTTTCATTGGTGAGTGGAGGCGCGGAGACGAGTGGGAGTGCTGGGTTGCGGTTGCGGTCCGGCCGGTGCCGAAGTGGGGAAAATTTTGAATCTCCAGAGTCCAGACTCCAGACGAGCAACCGCGAGATCCCCCGAGGCGGTTGCAGGTGGGTTACCTTCCTAAGTCTGAAAGCGTACTCCCCTAGCCATGGAGTCCCACATGTCATCGGTGGATATATTACGCCTTCTAGGAGCGAACACGTATAAATAGTTTTGATCACAGGGTGTGACTCATGCGAGGGATGCTCCAAGAGTCCAAGTGGAAACACCGAAACATCTTAAGGGCACCACCTATGTACAGGCTAATAAACTTGTTAGCCCCGATCAAAAGGTGAGCTACATGTAGGAACAAGAGATCCAAGACTATCAAAGCTTGCATCGCAGATCAATGCAGAATCTAAGAACATGGACCCACCTTCCTAATGCTATACTAAAAAGCAGCTCTGCAGGTTTGGCGCTCGATCCAATAGAGACTCGAGAAAATGCGTGGTAAAGGTTCCTCCTCGCTGCATCGCATGCTTGAACGAGTGTCTCTGCGTCTGCATTTGTGTCAGACGAGGCTCTCGTGATGCCTCTGCAGGGTAATCTAACACCTTGCAAGGCTACTAGTTGTGCTGATTTGGACTCACGGCGCAGATGTGGAATCTAAGATTACTAGCCACATTGTAGCGTTGAGAGTGGCCTAACAGGACTGTCACAAAAAGAATGAAGTCTCGCTACCAGTCCGGTCAAGAACATGTAGATTCTACAGCAATTTCAAAGAAACATCTCGGTTCGTATGAAAAAATTCTGGAATTCTATGTGTTTGGTTACAGGGATGGTAGGAGATTAAATGGGATGGTCCCAAATCTAACTAGTGTTTGGATGAAAGTCAAGAGGGACATCACAGGATCATCCTGGATATTCCTAGTAGATTCGGGGTGCCCCGTCCCTCCAAATAAAGAGGGGTCAACAAGATATTGCATGCACAAAGGTTACTATGCGCGAACGTGCCTCAAGATTCAGCAAATGGAAGTGCATTCTAATGCGGTCATGCACTCATGCACAGCCCACAAAGACATCAGCCACAGATTACAATCTCCAGGCCCTCAGCTGATCCGTGTCCCGTGCCCCGTGTCCGCCGCATGAACTGGTCACTGGTCAGACACCCAACTGTCCATACGCCTCTTCTCACTCCCTTCCCACCACCTCAACAAGCTGCACTTCCCATCCACGGCTATATATGCCGAGCTCCTCGGTCACCAGCCTTAGCCCCCTCACCAGTCACCACCTTCGCATCGCATCCGCGTGCTCTGCCACTCCTAGCGCTGCCGCATGGCGCCCTTCCTCCTTGTCCTGCTCGCCGTCCTCCTCCCCGCGCCGCCCAGCCTCGGAGCAGGCTACGGGGAGGGCTCGGGAACCATCGACATCACCAAGATCCTCGCCGGCTTCCCGGAGTTCAGCAACTTCAGCGCCATGCTCACCGAGACCAACGTCGCGCTCGCCATCAACAGCCGCGACAAGGTCACCGTGCTCGCGCCCAACAACACCGCCGTCGCCGCGGCGTTCGGCGGCGTGCCCAAAATCCCGCGCTCGTTCCTGGCGGACCTCCTCGCGCTCCACGTCGTGCTCGACTACATCGACGAGCCCAGGCTGGGCGTGCTGAAGCGCGGGCGCATAGGCCAGGGATCCGTGGTCACCACGCTGCTGCAGGGCATGCGCGCCGTTCCGCGGGGCACCGGCTTCCTCCGCGTCTACTCCGGGCGCGACGGGCGCGCCACGATCTCCTCCGCCGCGCCCGCGGGGCTCCGGAACGCCACCGTCGAGAGGGTGGTCGCCGCCCAGCCGTACAGCCTGGCCGTGCTGCAGGTGAGCGGCTTCGTCGTCCCACCGGGCGTCAGAGTCCCGAAGCCGTTTCCACCACCAAGGGCGAGGCACATGGCAGCGCCACCGGGCCAGGCGCCGGCGGCTGCGCCTGGACCCCGGCGCATGGCAGCGCCACCAGGCCAGGCGCCGGTGGCTGCGCCTGGACCCCACCATGAACCTTTCATTGGTTCCGGCCCGCTGGTTCCGTCCCCGATCAGGCCGATGCCTACACCAAACCTCACAAATAGTCCACCGGCGGCGCCAGGTGAGACAGGAGTCATTCCGATTCCTAGATCGCACGGTGGCATGGCAGCGAAGGTTCCATCGGCCGCCGAAGCCGGACGCATTGCGGCGAGCTGGTGGACTGGAGTAGCTGTGGCGCTCGGTATCATGACATGCCTGAATTTGCATTTGTAAGTAGGTACTGTAGCTTGCAACAGGTAGGCGTTCAAGTATGCTTGGATCAACTAGCTAGATCCATTTCATCTTTTTATCGTGCCTATGTAGTCAGTTTGCTATAATCTGCAACAATGCAATTTCATTTCTATGATCTCAGTATCCAACAGAGCCGATTGTTTTGCCCTGATATAACGTGTAATGTATCGTGCAAGTTCACATTCAGATAATCGTCGATTGTTTTGCACTGATATAATGTCCAACGTATCGTGCAAGTTCACATTATTATGATAATCCGTGGTAGTAGGCAATGAGGCAAGAGTTGTTCAAGAAATCTGATACTCCTCACATTCAGCAAAATGACAGCATAGTCTAACTGAAAACAGTTTGAACAGCACCTCAAGCCCTGCTGTCATCATGTTTATCACTCAAGATCATAGCTAGTATCCGGTAGGTCTAGTTGTCACCGGCATATTGAAACATACATGTCAGAATCATATTACATTTATCAATCTAACATGGATCGCATCTTCTCACTCTGCATCCTCTATCTCTGCATCCTCGGGAACGCCTCGGAGATACAGAACGTTGTTGCACCTGTATGTAGATGTAGAAACATAAAACTGAATCATACAAGGGCCAAATGATAATGCAATGCAACAGGGCTTAGTTTGATCAGATACTATCGACCGAAGATCCAGTTCACACCAATTTAAGTTTTGAAGAAGCCCTAGCCTTCCTTCACATGTAACTTGATCAACACTACCATAGTACTTTCCAAGTATCGGAAGTTGGAGTAGGGCAGCAGGATGTATGCAAGCTTTTCCCAGTTTTATATCTAGATTTATTACAAAACACTACTACTTGACATAAGCTAGAAACAAAGGAACAAGAAACATTACCTGATTAGAATCTCTCCCAGGTTTCCAGAGAATTGCCCATCAATGTACTCCTCAGTGTTGGCAAGCTGCACACAGTAGGAAAAAAAAGGCAGCAATGAATTTTGTATGTCATTTAGACCCAATTGATGATTAGCTATTCATCTAAAAAGTACTCAATAGACGACCACTCTAATAGTATGACAGCCAAACTGCCAAATTAGTACCTGGAGATTCATATAGGAGTCCACCGAAGCAAGATAACCTGGGAATGTATAATAAAAGTTTTTCAGTTTGATTAAGAGCAGGGGCAGTATCTGGAAAATAAAATGTTCCGGTTCAAACTGAATATAAAAAGGAGATATTACCTTTGTACTCCATACCCCACTTGAGTTTGACAATAACAGGCTTCCCTGTCAGGTTGTTCAGGAAAGGTTTTGGGTTAACTGGCACAGTCTGCACAAAACGAGAGTTGATTAGTGAGTACGTGTACCATAAAGTCTTCCTTTATTATAGCTAGCAAACATAAATAACAAGACTCTCATTCTTTGGATTTCCGTAGTTCATTATTACTAAGCCCATTGGTCAACTAGATGATAGATTTCTGCCATTAATTGGAAGGTAGGCATTTACAACAGTCTGGTGCGTAAAGAATATCACAAAAATATGGCATGCATGACATGATGCACCCAGTGGCTCAACATTTAACTGAAAAAATAGACCAATAATACAGCACAGCATCATGGCAAAAATGTATAAACAGGTCAACATTTTAAATCTCATTATCTAAGTCACCTTGGAAGGAGACAGTGAGACACTCATCCATTTATCTAGTCAAGTATATTACTGTTAATAGATTTCTCCTGCAACTTTAGTGATTCAACATATTAACAAGACTGGGAATCAAGCTTAACAGCTTACGAACTTGATGCTTTTCACATGATGTTGAGATCACAAGCAATTTTGCAACCGCAATGCAAAATAGTAATCAGCTGTGCATGGAGGCAAATATTAATGCACCTTTGGATTAAGCTAGCAGAAACAATTGCAGCTATTATATGATACTTCAGCAGTACTGGTAAAGGTGAAACCACTGGCCTGAACTTCTGATAGGTAATGATGATTGAGATCAGAAGCAGTGACATCCGTAAAAAGATACAGAAAGGCCAGTTATGTTTCAAAATCCGGTTTTTGGCTACACTAATATAATATTTGGTAGTCACTCCCCAAAAAAAAACTCAGTTCAATCATGCCCTAATACAAGATCAAGGTGAAAAATAACTTCCCCTTGTAACCTCTGAACATACTTATACACTATGCGCCTTCAAAATTATTCTTCCGCAATTTCCCCTCTTCCCAATTGCACAGCTGATTCCTTCAAATATCCCAAAATCATACACCTCACCTAGCTAGTATCTAAATCTTGCTGGAATTCAACCTAGGTGTCTCAACTGTGAACGCCCTCCCAACTACAGCAGACGACCTCTCGACGGGGCAGTTGGCCGCGCTCCCCCGCCTGTCGCCGCTTGCTCGTGTCCCCGCGGCTTCGCCGGTGCCGGTGCCAGTGCCGTCGCCGCCGCACGCCCCCTGCCACTTCCGCCGGTCCGGCCTACCTACCAACCAACCAACGAACGATTCTTCTAGGACCGGCAATGGTGAGCTTGGGTGCACCATCGACTTGTCGTCGCTTGAAACCGAGGTCGATTTCAGGCGGTTGACAGATAGGAAGCGTGAAAAAAAACAGTAGACGACGCAAAATCACATGATGACTGACAAGAACAGCGAACAGATCCAGTTCGTAAGTCGCCAAGAAAAGGACATCGAGAGATCCGGTGGAAGTCAGAAGAGCTTACCGCCATTGGAGAACACAGCAGCCGTTGTCGTCGCTCGTCGGCGCGGTTCGAGCAGAGCGAGAGAAGGCCGCGAGGACGAAACGGCAGTCGCTGGCGCTGGCTGGAGCTGGAGCGGGATTGACGCGTGCGCCGCCGCTGCCTTTGCCGCGGCCACGCTCAGCCGAGAAAATTGAATATTTGACACCCGACGGAACATTTGACGTCCAATTCGTGTGTCATTGAAAATTTGACACTCTGGAAAATAGGTGTTTTCTCCTCTTTTCTCTATTTAATATTTTTTTCTTTTTTCTTTTGCTTTTCAAGGCAACGCTGAATGACCAAATACCTTGCCTGCTGTTGCTCGACCATTGCGGCACCTCTGGCCTGCGCCGACGGCCTCCATTAGCGACGGAGCCGAAGACGGCGGGCTTTGGCTAGCGCCGGCGCCCAGCACCAGCAACCGTCCGCGCGCACGCATGGCCGGCTCGTCCAGCACCGGCAGCCGGCCCCGCGCGCGCCCAGCCAGCGGCAGTGCCTCTTCCGGCACCCAGCAGCGGCGGCGTGAAGAACAAAGAAGAGCGGCGGCGGCGTGACGAACAGAGCCGAAGAAAAATAAGTACGGGAGAGAGAGATGCGTTCGTTTCTAAGAAAAAATGGATGGATAAGGCTACGTTGCCTTGGAAAGCAAAAGAAAAAAGAAAAAAATGTTAAATGGAGAAAAGGAGAAGAAAACACATGTTTTCAACGAATTCGTAGTCAGAGTGTTAAATTTCCAACGACGCACGAATTAGATGTCAAATGTTCACGGGCGTCCGGATTGAGTGTCAAATATTCAATTTTCTCCGCTCAGCCTCATGCTCGGTATTGGCAGTCCAAACCCTAGAAGCAGCCGATGTGCTTGTCTGCACAGAAGATCTAAGCGGGCTGCAGCCGAGCAGCTTATCTGTGCAGCCGCAGCCCAATAAGCCCATAAAGTTTGGGTTCAAGTAGGGCCCACGTTCTTTTTGATAAAAAATAAAGAACACATAGATTGCTGCTACTTGGTCTTATCCATTCGCTTATAGCTAGAAGCCTGGACGGAGTACGATGGGTGGAGAGAGGCTGCAACTCCAATCGAATCAACGTCTGCGGCGACCCGTTCGTTTGGAGTATGTTTGGTTGGCTGGCTAACGACCTAGCCATGTTTTCATAATATAATTTTTTTTTATTTTTGTTGCCTAGATAAGGTCCTAAGTCTGACCAACTAGAATTTTTTTTTAGTTTTAACACTTTTTAATACTATTTTTAAATCTAACACCTCTTAACTTCTTTTTTTAAAACTAACTCTTTTGGCCGCGTCATACATGACGACGCGGCAAAACCACACTGCCGCGCCATGCATGACGGCGCGGCAAGTCTGCCACGTGGTAGTCAGCCGAGCGCTGACTTGCTGACGTGGTGTAACTTAAAAAAATTGTATCTTTTTCGTATGATCTTGGATGAAGATGATCTTTATATAAACATTACAGCTCTTGACGAGATCTACAACTTTCTAGTATTGAGTTTTTTCTTTTGAGGTCGTTAAGATGCTCGAAAAAATAATATAAAGTTTTAGCATCATATTAATCGCGTACATGCGCTTGTCGCCTTGAAAGTATCTTTCTTATATAGTGCCAAATCGAGATACTCTCTATAAGACGAGAGCTACAATTTTTTATTTTTGAGTTTTTGCATTTAAGGTCGTTAAAATGCTATAAATATATAATATAAAGTATGTGATTAATATGATGCTGAAAATTTATATTTTTTTAGCATCTTAACGACCTCAAGTGCAAAAACTCAAAACTAGAAAGTTGTAGATCTCGTCAATGTCTACAACTTTCATATAGAAAATATCTCCATTTGCGCCATATAAGAACAATACGATTTTTCCAAGGCAACAAACGCGGGTACGTGATTAATACGATGCTGAAACTTTATATTATTTTTTGAGCATCTTAATGATCTCAAATAAAAAACCTCAATACTAAAAAGTTGTAGATCTCATTGAGAGCTACAATTTTCATATAAAGATCATCTTCATCCGAGATCATATAAAAAAGATACAATTTTTCTAAGTTGCACCACGTCAGCGAGTCGGTGCTCGGCTGACTGCCATGTGGTAGGTTTGCGGTGCCGCCATGCATGATGCGACAATGTGGTTTTGTCGCGCCGCCACACATGACGCGGACAAAAGGGTTAGTTTTAAAATAAGAAGTCAAGAGACGTTAGATTTGAAAATAGTGTTAAAAATATTTAAAAAAATCTCCAACTAATGCAAAGAAAGGGGTGCCTAGCTCGCTGGAAACGCTTGATCCCACAGTTTCCATCAAGCCAGGCTTGCACAAGCGACGATGGCCAGGAATTCGGCTCACCTCCTAGTCCTTTTCTCCGGCGTCGCGACCGAGCATCGGCGCAGCAGCCTCGGGTGGCCGTGCCTCGGCACCCCCTCGTTGCTCGGCTCGGCACCATGGCGACCCACGCCCCGCCACGACGGCCCCGCGTGCATGGAGCCCCGGCGGCCTCGCGTTCGCGCGGCGGCGGCGACCCCCGCCCGCGCGCCGGCAACCCCGCGTCCGACGTCTGCGCCTGGAGCGCACGGATCCGAGCTAGACGCGGCGGCGGAGCAGCGGGTCGTGAATCTCCGCGGCCCACCGGCCCCCGGCCCCACGGCCGGCGCTGCACGCCCCTGGACCTCGCCCCCTCCCTCTCCTCGTCGTCCTCCACCCCGCACCCGACGGACTGGAGCAGCACGATTCGGACCCAGGTTTCGGAGCCCCTCGCGTACGTGCGCGGCGCGGACACCAACAAGAAGGCCGCCGCAGTTCATGTCCCAATCTGTTCTAGTCACCTCAACACTGCCTCGCAGTTCATGCAGGTGGAGAAGATGCCGTCGGCCATGGCGAATGCACGCGCTGCTGGCGTGCGGTAGCGTGCAAGAGTGGTTGGCCGCTGAGGGAAAGTGCCTGGTGCCGTGGAACCTGGTGGCCGTGGCCAAGGACGACACCGTCAAGACCAATGCGGTGGTGCGCAGTGGAGGTGCTCGTTTCACGCCCAGCATCTATTCGATAGAATGTCTCAGTACAGAGATGTGGTGAATCTACCACAACCAAAATAGCCAACCAAACACACCATTCGTTAGCTAGGGTTAGTTAATACACGCAACCAAACAACTGGGAATTGGCTTGGGCCGAGTAGGCCTCGGCTGCCCAGGCTCAGATGCCAGGCTGCCAGGAAATCAAACACACCCTAAATGAGCTTCTGCAGCTTCCCACGCACAGGTCGGCGAGCAGAGCCGGGGCTGCGACATCCTGCGCGGCCATGAGAACTATGGCTCCAATGCCCCGCGTGGTGGCGATTTGGCCTTGGAGCACGAGCCAATGTCGTCATCTGGTGAGACGACGAGCAAGCCCCGTTCCTAGCTTGTTAGGGGCTTTTTTTTTTTGCAAAAAGCACATCACGCAGACAGGTTAAATCCAATGTTCAAAATAGCTGCCAGCAGCTATAGCCAGATTTAGCTGCCGCTATAGCTGGATTTAGCGGATTGGCACGGCTGACGCCAGGAGATTTGCATTTTTTTAAAACTAGGAGATTTGCGTTTTAGCGCTAAACAATGTGACCGCTAATAGCGGCGATTAGCGCGCTAAGGGCGTGTTTGGTACGTGCATCCGCCCCAGCCTGGCTCCTCCGATGCAGTTTTCTTGCATTTGGTTTCCTGGACGCGGCTTTGGCCCTGGCTCGACTGATGCAAAAGGACGCTCGCAGCTTGGCTCGCTAGAAACGCAGCGGGGCTTCGTTTCTCCGGAGCCAGGTTCACGCGATGCGAGAAGCGCGGCCCTTCGCGTGCAGGCGGGGATGGAGCGATGGGTTGTCGTTACCGCCCTGGGAGCTCGCCTCCTCCACTCCGGTCTCCGGTTGCCGCTCGTGTTTCCCCCGTTGTCCTCTGTCGTCTCCTCTCGCCGCCCTCTCCCTCTCCGGCGTGCTAGGGTTGCCACTCCCTCTCGATTCACCGCTGTCACCTCTCCGGCTGTCTGGGTTCTTCCCCTCGCCCTCACCCTCTCCGCTCTAATCTCCTTCCTCTTCTACTTCTTGGTGCTTGCACTCTCCGTGCGATGAGGTGAGATCCATTACTTCATAGATCTACTCGTTCTTCCCCTTTTACTTCTGATTTCCCCCATCTACCTCTGATTTCCACCCTTCTACCTCTGATTTTCCACTTGTACCTCTGATTCCCCCCCATCTACCTGTGATTTCCCCCTTGTACCTCTAATTTTTTGTGAGTACTAATACCTTTGATCAATTGAGGGTTCGATCTGTGTTGATGCTTTGCTCTGAGGTAAAAAGGCCAGTCCTTTTCAATAGAATTTCAATTAGTTCGTGTTCTTTGTAGGTAATAGTGTACTAATTTGTTTTCCTCATGTGTAGATCCACCTACCTGCTCAACTGTGTGACGATTACAAGTCTTTATATTCTTATTATTGTGCATCTCGCGGTAACGAGGGGAGTTCTCAATCTTTCCCCTATCTATCTTTGCAGTAGATGCTATTTTGGTGGTGATTATGCATCTTATATTCATAATTTTTCCTGATCTGATATGATCAAATAAAATTTATCGTGGCTATGGGGTTGTGCAATGATGAACTTGTTTTTAGACTGAGACAATGGGATTATGCAATGATATTAATTGTTTCATTCTTCATGTTCTTTACTGAGGTCTTGGGATTGTGCTATGATATGATGAACTTGTTTTTCAGATTGAAACAATGTGATTTGTGCAATGATGATTACTTGTTTCATTCTTCCATGATTCTTTGCTATTTCCAGTAGCCTTGTGATGCCAATGTTATTGAGTTGAGCATAAGCCTATTGTCAATGATGTCTTTACTTCACATAACTTGCTAATCTATATCTCCAATAAAGATAAACCCCACTGGCAATTTATCTTACCATGCAAAGTGTCCACGTCAGCATCCACTGGAACATCCCATTAGCGCATTCAACTATCTCGCCATGCAAAGTGTCCACATCAACATCCACTAACACATCCAACTAACACATGCCATTATGTCTTCATTCAAACTATTCACATTAGCAAACCACATCATTTACTAACATATATTTAGTTGTCCACATCAGAATGCAAAAAAATCATCCACTAACATGTATTATGACATTTATTCAATCATATTAGTAAATATAAGTAGTATAATTTGACATGAACATTCATCTGGCGGGATAATACCAAGTTCAAGCAGGCTTTGAAAATCAAGAATACCAAGTTCAAGCTGTATGGAAGATGTCACATGGTTGTGGAATTCAAAGCACCAGAGAAGAAAAGTGATGATCGAGAGGATATAATTTTAATTTGGGCTCTAAGCATCATTGTATTAGTATGGAAAATTATTGTAATATTGAGACTTGGCATCGAGTGGGGTTGGGAGGTATGCTCACCACTTCATACAAGTGGTAACTACAACTTGTGTATCCATGCAGGGAACCAAACAAGACATCCTGCATCTACATTTCATATCTGTGGGTACATACAAGCAACCAAACACAATCTCTGCATATCCAAGCTGAATAAGTGCAACCAACCAAACATGATGCCCCTGCATGCGTAGAGCCTGTCCAGGCTGGGCCTGGCTTATGCGAGCCAGGCTCGTCTGGGAAGGGAACCAATCAATCCCCAAAAACACTAAACAGGGGTCAACTTAGCGTCGCTAAGCAGTTCCTGCCAGACTAGTGGGCCGAAACCAAAGTGGGCTTCATATATTTCTCTTCAGGAGGTGGCCCGAAATGGCAGTGGCGGCCCGAAATGGCCCCTAGCAAGTCCCTGATTCCACTCAACCTTTCAGGGCATTTATATATTTATTATTATTATGGATAACATCTTAACACTAACACATGAGTGACTGATCAGCCTGTTCGGTTGTTCGTAAACGATCGTAAATTTCCAGCTAGGGACAATGTTTTTTTTTACACTAAATCAGCCAACAGTAAATAATCCACGATACGATACGACCTCCCGAACAGGCTGACGATATTTTATATAACACTCTCTCGTAATAATGGTAAATATTACCGACCTTTCGACCTGTCTGCTGGAAAAAAAGTATCGTCGTCGTCGTCAGCGTTCTCTGACGAAGACGGAAGGCTACAGCCGGCGCCCGGCGACCACGGCAGCAGTGCAGCCATCTCGCCCGGGCACAGCGACGACGTGCAGGCCGCCCCTGCAATCACCGCCTCCTCTTCCTTTCTTTCTTCGCCGCCGTTCTGTCTCAAGTAGCTGACTCCTTCCTTGTACCCGTCGCAGCATGCGATTTTTTGTTTTTTTCCAGTGGATACGTCTAACTGTGACTCGCTTCGAGGGCATCGATGACCAGCCACCGCCGACCCGCTGGGAGAGTCTCCGTCGACATCCGCTGCGTCAGTAGCCCGCCGACCGTCGACACATGTACTATTGGTTTCCATCCCGTTCGTAGGAATTCATGTTTTAGCTTTTTTTTTTTTGGTCGATGTTGCTTTCTTTTAAGGAGTTGCTTGAAGATGTTGTAGGAACAGAAATATGGATGTTGTTTGCTACTCTCTCCATCCCAAATTATAAGTCATTTCAAGAATCTTAGAGAGTTAAAGCATCTCAAGTTTGACCAAGTTTATATAATAAGATAATAACATTTATGATACCAACTAAGTATCATTAGATTCTTTATTAATTATATTTTTATAGTATACCTATTTGATGTCATAAACCTTTATAATTCTTTTGGTCAAACTTAAGATGCTTTGACTCTTCAAGATTCTTGGAATGACTTATAATTTGGAATGGAGGGAGTAATATTTTCTTTTTACTGTCCTGAAGCTTACAAGACTAATGTCCCGCGCAATGCTAACATGGCCAAACTCCAAGCAGGATATTTGTTTCCTGAGGTTACGCATCATTCCCATCTTTTCCTTTTGTTACTGATGCTATTCTGTTGGAGATTTGGCTTCTGATAGTATCAATTCTTGACTGTCGAGCAGATTGCCAGGAGAAGAGCAGCTCATTTGCTGAAGTATCCAGATGCCAAGATTATAAGCCTTGGGATAGGTGACACCACCGAGCCCATTCCAAATGTCATAACAAATGCCATGGCAGAGGTGCCTTCATGTTAAACTAGTGTCCTGTCAATCATATATATTCAGCCCACAAAAAAATCCCAGTGTTCCGACACTTAGTTTTATAGTTGAGAAAACACTTATACATTTGTTGCTGTTGAATATCTCTTTTACAATTACATTATTTTTTTTATCTGTCTATCGGTAAACACAGAGAGCACATGCCTTGTCAACAATTGATGGCTACAGCGGTTATGGAGCTGAGCAAGGTGAAAAGGTACCTTGTGGCGTTATCAGCAATTTTCATTGCATTAACAGGCTAATTCAGATACTTATTTAACAGCTATACTACATGAAGCTTTACATAAATATTTCATGGAGAAATCTGATTACAAAGATTGGTCGCCTTTTACCTAAAAATTATTTGAGGCAGATTGACGATCTGTTGATAAAAGGCTAACTGTTTTTAACTTCTTAGTGTTATGGTATCTGATTCTCTAATTCTTAAGGGTTACTGTTTTGTAATGTATTACTTCTTAGTTTAAAGACCAATCATATACTGATATACGATCCCTCCAATTAATTGATGTGTTTCCTGTCACTTATCCTTCCAAATGCTTGCATATTGCACATTTGAACTACTTTGCTTACATGAATTAATTTTTAAGTTTTCAAGCCTATTTGTAGTTTTATCTTTGCTTTGTTCTTGTATAAGCTCCTTCAACGTGATAAAATTTCTTGCTGATTGCTAATGCAGAAAGTCAGAGCAGCAATTGCTGCAACCTACTATGCGGACCTTGGCATTGAAGATTCAGACATATTTGTCTCTGATGGTGCCAAATGTGACATATCTCGCTTGCAGGTACCAAAAATATTTGACGACTCCTCCCTTCTTAAGTTTACAATTCATTTTAAATTGTTTGTTAATAATTCTCCTAATTCAATATTTCAGGTCCTTTTTGGATCTAATGTGATAATTGCGGTCCAAGATCCATCGGACCCTGTGAGAGAACTCTTGCATTAATTGTAACTGTCAGTTACTTACACTTTCATATTGATGATTCTAAACTTATGTGTGATGATAATCGTGATATGTTTTTTTGTCATATTGTTACTTATCGATTAGCTGTTACCATTTTACATATTGTCCATTGAAATTAAAGCAGGCCTTTCATTTTGACAGGTGATTCAAGTGTTATCATGGGCCAAACTGATTTATATCTGCAAGATGTTCAGAAGTATGGAAACATTGAATACATGAGATGCAGTCCAGAAAATGGATTTTTTCCTGATCTTTCAACTGTCCCTCGGACAGATATTATTTTCTTTTGTTCACCGAACAATCCTACTGGTGCTGCCGCATCTCGGGACCAACTAAACAAATTAGTAAAATTTGCAAAGGACAATGGGTCCATCATAGTCCATGATTCTGCTTATGCAATGTACATATCAGATGACAGCCCAAAGTCTATCTTTGAAATTCCTGGAGCAAAGGAGGTAGGCAATATGTTCCAATATTTACTTGTTCATACTACATATGGGGTGTTTAAAATGTCTCAGTTGCATGGTTATCCTGAAAATTACAGTGCCAGTGCTATGAACACCATATTCCCCTTTGTAAATAGACTGCACCTTTTTCGTTGTGGTTTTGTTTATGTGCAGGTTGCTATTGAGACAGCGTCATTCTCGAAATATGCTGGGTTCACTGGTGTCCGTCTAGGTTGGACTGTTGTCCCCAAGGAGCTCCTTTTCTCTGATGGACATCCAGTTGCTAAAGATTTCAATCGCATAGTCTGCACTTGCTTCAATGGTGCATCAAACATTGCACAAGCTGGTGGTTTAGCTTGCCTCTCTCCAGAGGGTCTAAAGGTAGGATTCCTGGTTCTTGGAATTCTTATATTGCTCTTCTGCATTGTTTGTTTTATCTGATTGTTCCCGTGCAGGCTATGCATGATGTTGTTGGCTTCTACAAGGAGAACACTGAAATAATTGTTGACACATTTACATCACTTGGATTCAACGTGTATGGTGCCAAGAACGCTCCTTACCTATGGGTGCACTTCCCTGGCCGCAATTCTTGGGATTTGTTCGCCGAGATCCTGGAGAAGGCAAATGTGGTCACTACTCCTGGCAGTGGATTTGGACCGGGCGGCGAAGGCTTTGTGAGAGTCAGCGCATTCGGACACAGAGAGAACATCATTGAAGCCGCGAGGAGATTAAAGCAGCTGTACAAGTGAGCACCGATGCAGCTTCTGTGCCCTCCCGGGAAAATGATATCAATAAGAACACATCAGCATTTGCCACGACACCAAAATTCGCTTGGTGAAGCTGCTAGAAGATGTTAGAAGTGGGACATGATTTTTTTTTTAACATGAATTTTTTAATAGGCTTTCATGTGGTGCTACTATATTCAAACTATTTTGAACTCAAGACGATGCTTGCTGTAGTCCTGAGACTCTTCACTGGTGAAGTTGTTGTCTCGTCTGTGACCTGCTGTTGCTGTTTCGGGATACCGAATACCTCTACGATGAGTGCACACGTTATACACGCAGAGTACACATAATTGACTAAAAAATTATTACTGGCAGTGGTACCCCAGTATCTATGGAAGTTGTCAAGTTGACCACCTAGAGAAGAGGATTAATAGGAGTACGAGCACTAATTACCTCGGCATGGAGAGAAGCGAATCGTTGACTTCTTAGGATCAGTTTTGTAATTTTCCTGACACACGATGCTGAAGAATCATATGTTTCCAGATCCAACTGCACTTGCTGCAGCAATGTTGTTCACATATGCCTAATTCTGCTGAGATCCCACATAAGGCAGCATGAGGTCTTCCCCAGTGCTGTTTTTTTCCTAGTAGCCCCAAGTGCCGTAGGATCGGATAAAAAAAGTAGGTGCTCTGCATTTGTTATGGTGGTTTGTAGAAGCTATATATACTTGGGGAGAGAGAAGCTACATATGACCTAAGATAGTAAGATTCATACCTATTGGCAGGCTGGGACAAACCTGACACCAGGCCAATCTTAGTCAACACAGCTAATTCTTTTTGTAAACAGTGCTTCGCAAGTTGTGGCCTACTAGACATTCACAGATGTGTGCAGAAAAGCTTATTATTCCTTCATTTGCAGATGTGTGCAGAAAGATACACAGCTACTGAAGATTTGCTGAAGCTTTCTGGTCGGCTTCAGTTAATAATGGCTCAGGTTTTCATCCATATCCAACACTGAATCATTGAAAGATAACCCATAAATTCTAATGTTTCAGTCATTGAAAGATATAAACTAAATGATCTTGAATTCCATCAGGTCAACAAGGCTGCTAGTAACGTGTGTGAGCCGACGTCAGAGGAGATGCAGGATGCTGCTTTCCAGTCTGACGAAGAGGAGGATGAAGACGTTGATGAAACAGTGTTTGATCAAGATTCAGATTCGTCACAAAATAGCGACCACGATGACGATGATGCTAAGTAGACTATTGCTGGTATTCAATTATGGTGATGTATTTTTTAATTGAATTATCAAGCTTGATTTTTGTCAAGTTTGTAAACTAGGCATCGCTGAAAGGTTGCACAGAATTTTGACAGGGTCTGGAGCGGTTGTCGTCGCTTCGTCGGCGCGGTTCGAGCAGAGGGAGTCGCTGGCGCTGGCCGGTGGTCAGGATTAGGGTTTGGGAAAACGGGGTTTAGGGGACCGGACTCCCGGAAATCAGGGACGAACCGCCACCAGAAAAGTGGTTGGGCTGGGCCTTTTCGGCCTCGACCCGTTAGCAACTTGACGAGCCTTATCGTCGATATTATTCTTGATTTTTTTAAAGCGTTTTCTAAAAAATAATTTCATGAATGAAACATTGTCCCAATCTGACAAGTGGGGTTTATCAAAAAAAAAATTGACGAGTGAAGTATATTTCTTCAATTTTTTATTTGGGCAATTTTTTTGCACAAGACATTTATAAATTATTACAAAAACTCCATTGTTATTGTTTCCGAGAAAACATGTAATTAGGTACCTCATAATAATATGGAAGCAAGAACAACTCCAAGAGATCTTTTATATTCTTCTATATTGGTATGAATAGCTTCTTTAATTAGGTCTTCAAATATTGTCATCATCTATTTTTGGTTTCTCGCTAATCAAAGACGGGGAGCATGACTGGCTATTCAAAGTGTACACAAGATATAGAGAAATTTAAATAGTTCTCTAAACGAGGATTCAGATAAAGAGTCTAAGAAAGACTTTTGGAGATGCTCTTGTATTCCTCATGGGATGATCGGGAGTGCTATGTTCCTACGACAATTACATATTTTGTACCGTTTCATTAACAAATAATAATGTTGCTGGTAAGGGATGAATGCAATCGCGATCAATCGACTATCACAGACACATTTTCACAGTCACTTTTGTTCGATACAAGTTGCTCACCTGTTGTTTATTTTGCACATGTCACGCCCGTAAGAGAGAGGTGCTATTCTCATTGTCAAGGTTGGTTGGCCAGGAGAAACAAAATGCTCCCTACGGCCTACGCTATGCGGACATGCGGACACAACACAACACGACGACGCAACCGCAGCATACCACGCTAGATTTATGGTAACCGTAGCTGTCAGGCCTCCGTGATGTTTGCTCAACAAATCACAGGTGGATATATGCTAGTGTTTGGCAAAATTGTAAGCTATCAGCACCCCTGAATTTACTACTGTATGTTACACTAATAACTACTACTGGATGATACAGGTTTATTGGCAGCGCCTTGTGATATCTTCATCTTCAATCTTTAACAATATAATTTGCACACGACAACTGACTACTGAGGTCCGAGGACGCATGGATGTGGGCATGTCCGCATTTGGTGCCGATGGTTTCAGTGGAGTTGCAGGGTTTATTCGTGAACGGCCTGTTTGTTTCAGTGGAGTTGCACGGTTTGTGAACGGCCTGTTTGGTTTGAATCCAGGTAGGACTGACTTGGTATAAATTCCAAGCGTCTATATTTTGAAGGTTTGGACTGGGATTGTTGTTTGGAATGGAGGGAGTGTTATTTTAGTATCGAGGAGTATATGGACTACGGTCTTCTGGTTTCTAACGGTGTCATCACTCATCAGCACGAGATATTGACATACATCATCGTCTCTAAACAAATGTCGCTATGCTATTCGTGCCAAAATTTATAAAAAATATTAACAATATTTATATCTCTAAATAAGTTTGTTATAAAAATAGATTCAATAATCTATCTAACGATACTACTTGTGTACTATAAATAATAGTATTTTCTTATATATATTTGGTCAAAGTTGAAAGAGCTTGACTCCTAGGGAAACCGAGAATGACACTTATTTATTTAGGGACGGAGGAAATACAAATATAGCACTTAAAATATAGCCGTTGAAGCGTATAATGTATTGCAAAATGAACTCATTTTTGTATCTGCCGCAGCCAAAGTTCATAGCATTATTTTTAGACAATTGCTACCTTACAATCGGTTGTTTCGGACGAACCCAGCACCCGATATTTTTCTCTCTCCCAACCAACACTGCTTCCTGTCGTGCGTCTCCGAAGTTCCGAGCTGGCCGCCGCCGCCGCCCTAGGCCTGCTCTCTCCGCCACCGCTGCCCCCAGGCCCGCTCCCTCCATCGCCGCCGGCCCCAAGCCAGGCAGTCGCAGCGGTTTCACCGGCGTCGGGCATGTACTGCTCACGGAAGGGAAGACAACGGATAAGGTTGGGGAGGGTGGGACCCACCGCAATTTGATTTTTTCTAAAATTTGTGAACAATTTGATATATATCTTTTTGATATCTGCAATCAATAGAAATAATTTGTTAAAATTTTCTAAAAATTTTGGCATATATTTCTTTGAGATCTGCAATCTCCCTAAATTATATCACTCTGTCCAATAAATTACATTGAATAAAACTATTTTAAATATAGTAATAAGACAGTGTAAATATAGCTAAAAGAGAATGAAAAAAAAATCAGGTGTCGAAAGCTTAAAAACACTCCGTTATTGACTAGACAGACTCTATTTTTAGAGTAAATTGCACGACCGGTCCTTAAAGTATTGGTCCGATTTTATCTGGGACCCCAAACTATGAAATCGTACTTTTGACTCCCTAATGTATTTAAGTGATCTCATCTAGGTTCAAAATAGACATGAGGAGGGTTAAAAGCTGATGTGGTTGTCCACGTGGACATGATTTAACCCAGTCACTGCCACCATCGGTCAACAAGCGATCTAGACCGTGGATTTTGGATCGGGCGGGGTAGGAGGAGTCGTCCTCCCCTGTAGCTGCGCAGGGGTGCTCTCCGGCGGCGTCCACGTCAGAGTCGAGGCGGGACGGAGCTCCGGCGGATGATGATCTCCAACGAGCGGTGGAGCGGGAAGAGGAGGCCACGGCAAAGTCATCTGCCGCGTTCTCGATGGCGGGGAGGCAGCGGGGAAGGAAATCGAGGCAGTGGGACGGACGGTGGCGGCGCGCGCGGGCGGGCGGCAGCGGCCGCGCCATCGCCGCCGTCGCCATGGACGGCGGCGGCTACACAGCCCGCGGTTCCGGCTTCGAGCCTCCTCGCTCCTGCGCCCCTCCATCTCACGGCGGGGGGTTCGTCCTCGCGGCTTCGACCTCGGCGGCGATGCGACTACTACGCGACGGCGCGCCTTCCACTCCTCGTCATCCTCCTCCTCCTCCAAGTTAGCGGTCCGGGCGCCCTACTACTCGGCGGGGCCTCACGACCGTCCACGCTGCTGAGGCCGAGGGCGTTGTGGCGCCCGCATCATGCGGGAGAAAGAAGCGGATCTGCTCGCTCCACCGGCTGCGTGCCCAACATCACGACGCTGATGTCCAAGGGCGGGTGCAAGGCATTCGCGTCTCTGGTGTCCAAGTCCCCCAACGCGCTCTCCGCATTCCGGGGGCGGTGGGCGGCGGCGTGACGGCGTTCTCGCCGACGACGACGCCAGTGCGTGGTTCATGCCCAGCCACCGGAACCTCGGTAGCGGACGGCAAGCGTCGCTGCTGCTTTTTCCGCGCGTGCCCGTCTACTACACGCTGCGGGGCTCAAGTCCAAAGAACGGGCCCATGAACACATCAGCCACCGACGGCGCGCCAAAGAATTACAACCTCACGGTGCGAGCGCGGCGACCAAAATCACGCCTGCGGACGCCGACGTCCGACGACCCGGCCCGGTGCGCTCACCGTGTGTCGACGTGGACCCCGTCGTCACCATCTACGCCGTGGACGCGGTGCTCGATCTGTTGAGCTGTTTCGACCCGTGGCGGGCGCCCCAGCGCCGGCGCGCGCACGCCGATGGGTGTGGGGTGGCGGTGATTCGGGGCGCCGGAGCGAGAGAGAGGTCACAGTGAAGTGCAAGACGGCATGACAGAGCAGCAGCAGGAGGAGGTGGCGTGGCGGCGCGACGTAGCGGCAGCAGGCGGCAGGTGCATGGCCGAGCCGCCACCGCTCTCTCATGGTTGCCTGCCCCGACGCGACGGCAAGGCCCGTGGCTCGCACGCCTTCGCCCGTGTGCCGGGCGGCGGCGCGACGACCGGCAGACACGCGCCGCCTTTGCCCCAGAGATATGAAGGCGCGGCTCATGCCCCCTCGCTCACACCGGTGAAGCTTCGCATGCCATTGCAAATGGAGTTGGAAGACGAGCTGACACATGGGCCCACCCTAGCGGTGACTGGGCTAGAAGATCCTGGCCGCGCACGCCACGGCTTAGGGTTTTGTGCTTAAATCATGTCCATGTGGACGGCCACGTCAGCTTCTAACTCTCCTCGTGTCTATTTTGGACCTTGATGAGATCACTTAAATACATTAAAGAGTCAAACGTGCAATTTCACAGTTTGAGGACTCTGATGAAATTCACTCAATACTTTAGGGATCGGCCGTGTAATTTACTCCTATTTTTATTATAAGAAGAGGACGAGCGAAGGCTCGGCTTAGGAATAGGAATCAATGCATGCATAACATGCCACGGTCGGTCATGCTCGTACAAACTGGTAAATGTTTTTTTATTAAAAAAGGAGCATGTTTGATTGTAGTGCCGTATGGGTCCAAACTTTTTTACTATATCGGGTCCGTTTGAAATTTAAAAAGTCGGTGAGTGGAATTAATCACGCTGCTGACGCCAACGTGTTAGGTTGATGCCATACCATCAGAGGGATTGATGCATCGTCCTTCCACTTCCAGGCGAGCAGCTGCGCCGTTTCCGGTGGCGTCGACAGCCAGGAAACGCTAACTCGATCGCCTGGCCTGGCCTGGCCTTTTAAGGTTTCAGGCGGCTTATCGTTTCCATAAGTCAAGGAGAAGCCGATTTACTAAGTGATAAAAACCGTTTGAAATTGTCAAGTGTTTAGCCCATAATTAATCCGCTGCTGCTCCAACGTGTTAGGTGATGCGACTGAAGCATCAGAGGGATTAGGCATCGTCCCTTCCACTTCCAGGCTAGCAGCTGCGCCGTTTCCGGTGGCGTCGACAGCCAGGAAACGCTAACTCGATCGCCTGGCCTGGCCTGGCCTTGGTAAGGTTTTCAGGCGGCTTAGAGTATGGTTTACAAGTACACAAGCAGCATCGAACGATCATTCGATTTGGATCGGTCGATCGAACACGTGCAAACTCCTGATCATCATCCTATACACCTGCTGCCTGTGCTGTGCTTCAAATTCGTCGTCGCATCGTGGTGCTCCAGACTAGTACTAGGAGCAGTAATTAGTAGCAACACGTGCCGAGAGATCGAGGCAGAGCGCACGGTCCCTCCGCCTACGTGGTCCATGTGAACGAACGAACGAACCGTGGCAGGCTGGGGAGTGAGTGTTGCACGCACCAAGACGTACCGCGCAGCTGCATGCGCCGCCGTGGCCGTCGATCGATACGTGAACTTGTGCCAAAGATATATACGGAGCAGTAGTTGAGGGGGCTGGTGCAGCCGGGACCGCGGGCCCACCCAACAACCCACCGTGCCCGTGCCGTGCGTCGCCTGGGCTTGGACTTTGGACGCGCAGCGACGTACGCCCACGCACGCACAACTTTGTTGGACTTGGACGGTTCCGACCAGCTTTCCACCAACACCCGATCCCCCAACCGCCGCCCACCCGCTCTAGCTTTTCCCCCGCGACCTTTCCCCGTATATGGTTACCCCACTCGGGCGCGAGGGCCCACCTGCAGAGAGGGACACAGTGTCACACACCGACCCACCATGCCGCTCCCAACGCGCAGCGCGGCCACCGCAGGGGGCTGGCCGGGGGACGATCCGCGATCCGACTGCCTGGGATGCCATCGCGTTCGCGTCAGCGTGGCGTCACCCCGAGTCGGGCTCCCACCAACCGAGCTGACCGGGACGAAATGCTTCGCCGCTCTCCGGTTGCGCCCGCGATGGTCCATGGTAGGTGAACCTGCTGGGCCGGTCTGAACCGGTCATGACTCATGACATAAACCGAATTTCCACAACCAAAGATGATTATGTGATAAGAGCTCCGTCCGTTTCAAATGATAAGTACTTCTATTTTTTCCTAAATATAATTTATAGCTGAAGATATGTTACCTATAATTTATAGGATGGATAAAGTACTTAATATAGAGTAGTGCAAAAGTATCTGAATCGTAATTGGCTGTAAATTGGTATATATGAGCATGTCTACGCCCGTGTAGGATATCGAAGGCGTCATCAACAGCAGCAGCTGAACTTCGTCCCCCCAAGTGCATACGTTCAGCTTTCACCATTGCGCCACAGCGAGGACACACTGTAGATCGTCTGATAATGTTTGGTTGTTCACTGTCCGTGCTGAATAACATTATGTGATAACAGCATCATGTGGCCTGTTTTTACAGCTTTGCATCATTTGCTCCCTATGGAACTGCTATAAAAAAATTTTGCAGATGAGGAATTGAATTTCGAATGCTAAATTGTACTTGCATGAGTGGGGATTATGGGAAGTGAACCACATCAGTCCCGCCGAGAGGGCCGTACTACATCACCTGAACATAGCAGCTGTGACAGCCAGCTGAATCGAGCTACAAAACGGGCAACTGACAATACGCAAATGAACTGGTATGGCTCTGTTAGGCAAACTCGACTGGAAGACAAAGGTTCCCATGTCAGGCTCTGGAAATGCAGGATGCTCTAGTCTCCAATTCCAACCCTTGTCCTGGACACATTCAAACACTTGAGAAGGTCAGGATGAACAGTGGGCATTAGGCCATCACCAACCGCAGGTCCGCAGCCACGGAAACGCTGGCAGCTCTGCTCAGGTCAGCTCGATGGGAGGAGAAGGATTCCGTAAAATGGCCACCACACAGCCGCTGCTAATGGGGTTGGTAAACGACGTTGACGTGGCTCCACCGTCCCAGTCAACGAACCACAGCCCCGAGCCCAGCCTCTCTCTCACTCCCTCACCAACCCCGTAGCTCTCTCTCCTACCCCACCCCACCACTCTCCCACTTCCACCCGGGTCCCACGCGTCATCCCCTAAGGCCCCACTCACCAACTCCCTGTCCTCCCCTGCTCGTATATAACCCGGCACCTGCCGGTCCTTTGTCCTCCAGGAGATCAGAGCCCCGGCGAGGTCGCACACCGCACCAGCCATCGTCTCCTTCCTTCCTCTAGTATCATCCAACCAACCGCCCAGCGCAACGTTACCTGCCCGATCGACAAGCAACTCGTCCTTCCGAGAGAAAGAGAGCAAAGCTCAACGGCCGGAGAGATGGGTTCCGTGGACATGGCGGTCGCTGTGCCGGTGCCGGTGGCGGAGCCTGCGGCGGAGGAGCAGGCCGTGGTGTTCCGGTCCAAGCTTCCCGACATCGAGATCAACAACAGCCAGTCTCTGCAGACCTACTGCTTCGGGAAGATGAGCGAGGTGGCGGACCGCGCCTGCCTCATCGACGGGCAGACCGGCGCGTCGTACACGTACGCGGAGGTGGAGTCGCTGTCCCGTCGCGCCGCGTCGGGCCTGCGCGCCATGGGCGTGGGCAAGGGCGACGTGGTGATGAACCTGCTCCGCAACTGCCCCGAGTTCGCCTTCACCTTCCTGGGCGCCGCGCGGCTGGGCGCCGCCACCACCACGGCCAACCCGTTCTACACCCCGCACGAGATCCACAGCCAGGCGGAGGCGGCGGGCGCCAAGGTCATCGTCACCGAGGCCTGCGCCGTGGAGAAGGTGCGCGAGTTCGCCGCGGGCCGGGGCATCCCCGTCGTCACCGTCGACGGCCGCTTCGACGGCTGCGTGGAGTTCGCCGAGGTGATCGCGGCCGAGGAGCTCGAGGCCGACGCCGACGTCCACCCCGACGACGTCGTCGCGCTCCCTTACTCCTCCGGCACCACCGGACTCCCCAAGGGCGTCATGCTCACCCACCGCAGCCTCATCACCAGCGTCGCGCAGCAGGTACACCATGCCATGCCGTGTTCCACGTCTTACTCTTTCTCTCGCTGTCGTCTCTGTGTCTGTCGCCGTCGCCGCGGCCACGGTGACATCCCCGTCCATGTGGGGACAGGACAGCTGGGCCCAACCTGTGCCGATGAACATTCGTTAGGTGTCATACTGTCATGCGAATAGGCCGGCTCATCATAAATAAAATAATGGCGTGGATTCATCCGGCGGCGTTCTACGCCCGGCGCTGGCCGCGCTCAGGCCGCAGCTTCCTCAATTTGTTCGGATGCGGCAGGCCCACCTCATGTCCCCCGCCACTGTCTCCACCGGCACCGAACAAGTAGGCCCTGCTCGCAAAATTTTTCTCTCATAACAAATCAGCATCAGCATCAGCTGTTTTTACAGCCAGCCGGACAGAGCCCAGAGCCCAGTCAACCAGACGGACAACTGCATCGAGATTCGTGCCGAGACGATCTCTGTTATTTGCATTGGCGCCAAAGCATACTATATACTACTAGTAGTTTTGAACTTTATTCATACTTCATATATATGCAAATGCTGAAATGCAACTGACAGCTGCTGGATGCTAACTGAAACTGACCACTGATGATGAAGGTTGACGGCGAGAACCCGAACCTGTACTTCAGCAAGGACGACGTGCTGCTGTGCCTGCTGCCGCTGTTCCACATCTACTCGCTCAACTCGGTGCTGCTGGCGGGCCTGCGCGCGGGCTCCACCATCGTGATCATGCGCAAGTTCGATCTCGGCGCGCTGGTGGACCTGGTGCGCAAGTACGTGATCACCATCGCGCCCTTCGTGCCGCCCATCGTGGTGGAGATCTCCAAGAGCCCCCGCGTGACCACCGCCGACCTCGCCTCCATCCGCATGGTCATGTCCGGTGCCGCGCCCATGGGCAAGGAGCTCCAGGACGCCTTCATGGCCAAGATCCCCAACGCCGTGCTCGGGCAGGGGTACGGGATGACGGAGGCGGGGCCCGTGCTGGCGATGTGCCTGGCGTTCGCCAAGGAGCCGTTCCAGGTCAAGTCCGGGTCGTGCGGCACCGTGGTGCGGAACGCGGAGCTGAAGATCGTCGACCCCGACACCGGCGGCGCCCTCGGCCGGAACCAGCCCGGCGAGATCTGCATCCGCGGGGAGCAGATCATGAAAGGTGCGTGCGCCCCACTGCCCCAGCCGTCGTTGTCTGACCTCCTTGTAGTTGTAGTCGTAGGCTTGTTGTAGCTCTCGTACTCGTACTGTGGCTATCCAACCTTCCAACAAGCTTCACTTTCGCATGTCGTTAAGCGCCAACCTGGCACGCCACGCCCCTGACGTCGACCTGGCGCTTGAGGCCACGCCAGTGGTACTGTCACGTGGGCCCATGTGGTGCTGCTGCACTAGTGGAGCACGAGTCCATTGTTTGGGGAGCCGGAGAACAGTGGATAGTGGTGGGTACAGCTTTGGTGATGTGGACAAAAATTTCCATTGTTTGGTCGGAGTACTTAGGTTGCAACTGATCCGTTTAGTCCCTGTGGTTAGGCCACGCGACAACAGTCGCCCAAAACCCATTCGCAAATCGGCATTTAAACTGGGGGTGGGGGCATTTGAATGATTAGTCATTTAGTCTAGTAATAAAGGATGCAAGAAAAACCGGCTGACTAGTCGTTCCACGTGAATCAGCAGTTGAAGATCCCCTGCTTTGAACGAACCTCACCAACCATTCTCTGGAAATGTAGGAGGCATTTCGACGTCTTTTTCGTCGTTTTCGTCATCGTCATATGAGGGACCATCGTGCCATTGACACCGTCTGCAAAGCCACAGGGAGTAGAAAGAATTTCACTCGACGACAAAGGCGCGCTAGAAACCATGTGGCGTGCTCGGTGGTGTTCCGTTCGTTCGCGCCAATTTGGTAGCTGGAGACTTTGAAAAAAGGGATTTGTTAGTGGTGATCTGGTCCAAGTTTTCCATTACGTTTGGTTCCCCGTCCACCGCACGTTTTCGCGTTTTCTGCATAGCAGCCGCGGCCGTGGTAGTTGCCGCTCCTCCAGCTTCCGGGAACAGCCCATCGTCGCCATGGCACGGCCGCGGCGTCCAAGTCGCAAGTCTTTTTTTTTTATTTGCGAAAAAAAGGACCATGTGGCCACCACGCCACATGATTGAGGGTGCACTGCAGCTAGCATGTCGACCAGGAACCAACACCAACCAAATGCCCAATGCTGCTGTGCTGGCCTCCACTTGATCCACCTCCATACCATGCTTCCAATTCATCAAGTCACATTTGCCTGATTGCCATCGCCTGACCTGAGCTTGACTGCTTGCACCGCCACAGAATCGCATGATCCGACACATCACCGCGTCGGCGAACACTAAACACTAGCCGAGGACAGATGCAGAGAGAGAGCTTGCTTTTCTGCTGGACTTCCGAACGGCAGTTGGTTAGGTTATTGGTCTACCTAATATGAGCGCATGATTAGTCGTCGGTCCTACCTGGCGTGGGAGTGCGAGGGCGGCATCACGTCGCGTCCGCTGCAGAGTCATGTCCGTCGTTCTCTCGTCCTACCGATCTCTATCTGACGACATAGCGATCAGAGAAACAAGGACCTGAAACTGAAACTCTAGCAAATGTTTGGTGAACTGTCGCGTGACCGAGACAGCAAGCAAACGAGGCTCCGTTTGGGCGGCGAGCAAAGGAAATTGGAGCATCACACATTCACAAGTCAATTATTGCCTTTTTTCAGTCTTATCGTTGAAGAGCATGTCTTGCCAAACCTGGCCAAACCAAACTCTACCTTTGAAGGAATCTAGCTGCACATGATATTTTCGGAGACACCTTTGCTTTCTCTCTTTGTTTAAAAATTAAAAATCAAATTGCCTGACAATTTCTGCCATTGCTGAATTTTGTTTTACCATACCGGTCAGAGCTGCAAGATAGGTTCTGGCTCTGTCAAACTAACTTGATGCTACCACCAATCGATCATTCAGGTTACCTGAACGACCCTGAGTCCACGAACAACACCATCGACAAGGACGGCTGGCTGCACACCGGCGACATCGGCTACGTGGACGACGATGACGAGATCTTCATCGTCGACAGGCTCAAGGAGATCATCAAGTACAAGGGGTTCCAGGTGCCGCCGGCGGAGCTCGAGGCGCTCCTCATCACGCACCCGGAGATCAAGGACGCCGCCGTCGTGTCGTAAGTCGCTCATCGATACCTTCTTCATATGGAACCACAACGCGCAGCCTGCACTGCCAGTTTCTTTGGATTAATTGAATTCTGAAAATCTTCTCCGTCTCTTCCCTCAGAATGAAGGATGATCTTGCTGGTGAAATCCCTGTCGCCTTCATCGTGCGGACCGAAGGCTCTCAAGTCACTGAGGATGAGATCAAGCAATTTGTCGCCAAGGAGGTAAAAGCAACACCATGTTTCTTATGCTTCCGTTGAACCAAACCAATACAAGAAATTATCCGCATTTGTTCAGGAACAATTATTTAGTAGTAAGACCAGAACACCGTTGCAGAAGTTTCTGCAAATAAAGAGCTGGGTCTTGAGACTGAAATCTCAAATAAATGTAATGCTGCAGGTGGTTTTCTACAAGAAGGTCCACAAGGTTTTCTTCACCGAATCCATCCCCAAGAACCCGTCCGGCAAGATCCTAAGGAAGGACTTGAGAGCCAGGCTCGCCGCCGGCGTTCACTGAGGCCGTATACAGCTTTTCAGACGGTCACACTGCTGCGAAAAAGCAATGTAATAGCGGTAACATTATTCATGGAACGGCAACAGAAGGGGCACGTATTAATCCTGTGGAAATATGTTGCCAAAAGAGGTTTTAGTTTGTTTGTTTGTTGGCCCTGTTTGTGTAATGTTCATAAACGATATATATAGATGTATAATCTATATTGTTTTTGACCCAAAGAACAAGGCTGATTACGGCAATACAGTTATGGAGTACCATGTTTCAGTTACCTGGATGTTTGTTTGTCACAAGTTATTGTAGCTCAATCACGCACCTATAGAACAGCTTAAGACGACAGTCAAAAAAAACCAGCTTAAGACAGCAATACCATGTAAATTGTTAGATGCTAATCTAGTGTCGGTCTGCAAGTAAAACAACTGGATAATCAGATAAGCCATTGTAGCCATCTTCTTCTTATCATTACTTATTACTAATTGAAGGGACAACAAGATGCACTATACATAGCAAATTCGGTGTACCAAAAAAGTCAAAGCGACTTATAATTTAGAACGGAAGGAGAATATAATACTCTAAGGTAACCTCATGAATTTTATATCCTCAAAATTTTCATTCAAATTACCCTGTCATTGTTTATAAAAACTAAATTGCTAACAATTTGTCTCAAATACTCATCCCATGGTTATTGTAACCCTCAAATTTTCATTCAAATCACATCATGCATAATAATTAGAAAAATAACCATAAATTGAGTCTATGTATGCTTTGTAAATTATCTAGTTTTATCACTAATGGTGCATATAATACTAAGATAAATAATACATACATACTATGCTATCATGCAGATATACATACATGCTTACATGAGATGTAAATATAGCATTTCCATATTCATCAATCATGAAAAGTTCCTAACTACAAATATAACAAGATTTCATTTAAAACTATATTAATATCCATAGAAATAATCCATTTAGGTATTTCTTAGAGAAATTTATACATTTTCACGAATCATTCTATCATATCTATATTGATTATGTAGTTGTAAGCATTCTATTTTATTAAGCGGTGAATGATATTAGTGTAGACTAAAGTTAACCATGACCACTAGTTTTTTTAAATTCATTTCATGTAAATAATGAAGCTGAGTTTTAAAGCATTATTGATGAGTTTTCAAAACAGGCTACATATAAAGAGTTACAAGTAAAGTGAGGACCTGTCCTGGATGGCCAGCATGGGTTTTCAGGTATGTGGCCACATTAACATGATACGCCCAGTGCCATCATCTGCCAGCATGTTGCACATTTTACTCACGTTTGCCTCCATTCAGAGAGAATGAAACTACATACATAGCAACAACCCACAACGAAGTTACATACTGCCACGATTGCTGAAAAATACCTACAATTATTAAGGTATAAGAACAAATCTGTATCTGCATACCGGAATGACCACGATGAAGGCGGATGGTAGCGAATTGGAAAGAGCAGTACTCTTCCGCTCTATCAATCTTCCGCTTCTCTTCCAGAAGAGAACAGATAAGCAGACGAATGGCTTCGGCACGATTGAGTGGTGTCGTGGTGATAAGGGCGCCGCGTGGATGGCAGGAGACGCACAGAGATGACGATTAACAAACTACATAACAGCAGGAAACATATACCTATAGTATGTCCAAAGCAAAGATTATGAAACATATACCTATAGTATCTCGAAAGCAAAGATTATGAAACTGGGCACCAAACCAAGTAGCAACAAACTACATAGCAGCAGGCAAATACAGCTGTTTAGATAACATGAGGCAAATACAGGAGTAGAAAAGAAGGTACTGAATAGCCTGGTCGTACTGGTTGACCAATTCCCTGGAGGCCTGGGTGAGATCAGTTGGGTCCTTGTGTTGGCTGAAGAAGAAAAAGAACCTACTAATTACAAAACTAAATGGGAGTTAGAACTGAAACTGTATGTAGCATAATATTATGTAAATGAATAGACATCTGTTGGTAGCATAACCTGACAAACACGGCACTCCAAAACTAATTATTAGCACGGAAAAAGAGTGAAATCTATACATTGTGAAATAAAGGAGCACATGACATAAATGGAAAAAGATACCCAACATTCAAAGCTGCTGGCTACAGGTAAAATTCCAAATCATTTATGTGAAGCAACCTTTTATTTAAAGGAATCAAGGGATAATCAAGGGGACTAATTTTATATGGACAACCTAAAAGAGGCAGTAGCAAAATACAGTAGCTGGTCTTCGAGAAGTTAGCAGTAGTATATGCTTATATCAGGTAGTAGTAGGTGCAGGTGAATGCACCTTTTCATATAATAGGAGGCAGAGCAAATAAATCTTAAACAGAAAATTAGAAGTAAAAACTAAATCTATAGCATGTCCAATTTCGGAAAACCTACTTTGCAGACACAACAATCTCTTGGATAATAAAGATAAAGAGCTGAGAGGAAGTTCAGAATTAATTAGCATCAGTAACCTCTGCTCTTTTATTTTAGGACATGAAGCACATATTCGGATGCAATCATTTGGTAAACTAAGATGGGTCCACTGCAATGTGGTTGCAGGCAATATATATAGAAACAAAAGCATGAAACATTGCTAATTAAAGAAATTTTCTCAAATATTTGTACCACTAATCTTGGCCCAAGCTGCAGTACATGGACAGTAATCCGCAACAGATAGATGGGAAGCAGGATCAGGCATGAATGCAAGAACAATTGGTAGGCAAAGGAAGAGTGAAAGAGTAGGATTAGGGAATACTCAATGATTACTATGTTGGATCAGCGTTTACATATATAGGCATTGTGGGGTGGCTAGGTAGGCCTACACGCCATATTACATTTCAACACTTCCCCGCGGTCTAAACTGGGAGCACCGCGAACATTGAGACTGGACCTAAACTCCGTGAACACGGACGTCGGCACCCTTGGTGAAGATGTCGGCGTACTGGGACGAAGTGGGAACATGCAGGACGCGGACTTCACCGAGGGCGACTCGTTCTCTAACGAAGTGCAGGTCGATCTCAATATGCTTGGTTCACGATCTTTGAACCAGGTTGGTGGAGAGGTAAACAATACCGATATTATCGCAATGAGACCATCGTAGTACACGGACGGAGTGGGCAACGAAGTTCTATCGGTCGTCGCGCAACCAAAGAAGCTTCGGCGACTCCATTCGTGGATCGCCGATACTCCGCCTCTGACTTTGGACCGAGACACTCAGAGGTTGACGCTTGACGCGACCGGAGATGAGATTGTCCCCAAGAAACACCGCATAACCCGAGGTGGATTTATGTGTGTCGGGACAGCCCGCCCAATCAGATCGGTGTAGACAAAGTGAGATCAGCTGGAGAGGTCCGGTGGAGGTGTAGACCGAGATCCAATGTACCTTGACGGTACCGGAGAATGCGCTTCAGAGCGCTCAAATGAGGTTCCCGTGGGTCATGCATGTACAGTGCGACTCTTTGAACAACAAAGATATGCAATGTCCGGTCTGGTGAAGGTGAGGTCTCAAGAGCCCGGCAAGATCAAGATACTAACTCGGGATCGTGATCAAAACACCATCAGCCAGAAAGCTTGGAGTGAGTGTCCACCGAGTCTTTTCTTGCGCGGTGACTCATACCGCAAGCACGGTCCGTAATGTCCAAATGTACTTGCCTCTCGAGAGAAATAATCATCATCTCTGCTACGAACACTGACACCCAGAAAATGGTGAAGAGGCCCCATGTCTGTCATGGAGAATTCCTGGCGAAGTGCTGCGATAATCCGATGGAGGAGACTCGGAGACAACACAGTGAGAACAATATCATCAACATAGAGTAAAAGAAAAGCCATGTCAGCACCTTTGCAGTAGATGAACAACGACGTGTCGGACTTGGCCTCCACAAACCCGAGTGAGGTAATGTGAGAGGCGAAGCGACTGTGCCAGGCGCGAGGAGCTTGCTTCAACCCATAGAGTGACTTGTTCAGGCGACATACATAATTGGGCTTGGAAGAGTCAACAAACCCAGTTGGCTGTGCGTAGTAGACTGTCTCAGTCAAAGTGCCATGGAGAAATGCATTCTTCACATCAAGCTGGTGAATCGGCCAGGAGCGAGACAGTGCCAAAGTGAGTACCATCCAGATGGTCGCTGGCTTGACAACTGGACTGAATATTTCATCATAATCAATGCCCGGACATTGTGTGAAACCGCGAAGCACCCACCGGGCTTTGTAGCGGTCAAGAGAGCCATCTGACGTGAACTTGTGACGAAAAACCCACTTGTCGGTGACAAGGTTGACGCTAGGAGGGCGAGGCACCAAGGTCCAAGTGTCGTTTGCCTGCAAGGCGTCGAACTCGGCCTGCATAGCAAGACGCTAGGCCGGATCCGAAAGAGCGGCACGGACGGACGAAGGTACTAGAGTGGTAGACGAAGCCGTCGTGTGGAGATTAAGACGATCCACGGGTTGCCGAAAACCGTCCTTGCCACGGGTGCGCATGCTGTGCGCATTAGTGACAGGAACGATCACCTCTGTGGTCGTGGTGGTGGTGCGGCCGGTGGTACAGCTGGCGCTGCTGGCAACAACCTAGGACGCTGAGTCCGCAGGGGCAGCAACACCAGCCGAACCGTTGGTAGGGGCGCCAGCTGAGGGGGCCGCGGTAGCACCGGACATCTGGGGCGCTGAGTCCGTAGGGGCAGCAGCACCAGCCGGACCCGCAGGGGCAGCAGCACCAGCCGGACCGGCGCCAGGGGTCCCAGGTGTGGCATCCATGCCGCTAGGGAGACGAGTACCTGCAGGCACAACTCTTGGCCACATAGGCGAAGAGGAATCATCAGCATCATCCAAAAATGCAAGTGTGTTTGGGTCCTGGGGGTGGTGGACATCTCGGAGAACGGAAACAAAGTCTCGTCGAATACAACATGACGGGAGACAATGATCCGATTGGAATGAAGATCGAGACATCGATATCCTTTGTGACCGGATGAGTACCCGAGGAAAACACACAAGGAGGA